ACACGCTGGGTTTGCTCCCGGTCCGAGCAGTCTGCCCGTGACCCCACTGGACAGAGGAAACTGAGGCCTGCCGAGAGGTCGCACACTCCGAGGGAGTGCATGGCTCGTGAGCTGCGGAGCCGGGGTGCAAACCGAGGCAGCCCGATGCCAGCTGACCACCGCCGCCACCCAGCAGCCCCAGGGATGGGCACAGCACTTCCGTGCACGAGGCACACCCCAGGCCCTGCACTGGCCCCACTGTCCACTCCAGGACATGTAAGTGACTTTTCCAAGGGCACGTGGCCAAGTCAGGTGACGTTTCCCGAGTCCCCAAAGGTTCTGCCTACCCCTCCATATTCCACATCATGCCAACCTCGGATGCCAACCGCTCCAGCCCTTCCTGTGGGCCGGGCGGGAAGGTCTGGCTTTGAGGACAACAAAGCGAGACCTCACGTGTCAGCACTTACCACGTGCTGGGTGGACGTGACCTCACTGAGTTCTCTCAGCAGCCCCGTGCTTTCGGCACCGCTGTTCCCGTTCGACAAAGGTGGAAACTGAGGCACCCACAGCACGTGAGATGACAGAGCCTGAGTTTGTCACCTCTGACCACTCTGTCACCTCCTCTTTAGCTCCTCCCAGTCACGAGCCATGGCCCAGCGCACACTAGGAGCTTTCCCAGGCCTTGTCAAGGTGAGCAGGGAAACACCGAGAAGCCAAACTTGACCGACGACCGGCCAACTTCAAGGGCACCCATAACGCCACAGAGCCTGCCTCTCCCTGGGGTCCAGCCCGGGGCCGGCCAGGGTAGGGCTGTGGCATTTCTCATTATGGCCTCTGTCAACGGCCCCCTGTCTCTCCGTGTCTCCCCTTCTCTGCCTCGTACCCACGCTCGGGCTCTAAACGTCTCAAATTAGATTAACCGGGAGTTGGCAGGAGATGTGGCTGGGATGCCAACCGGTAAACAAATCTCAGCCGTCAGTGTCTCGTCAGCCCGCGGCCCCAGAGGAGGACCCTTCTAGACACAAATTCTTATTAGACTTGTCAGATCTATTAAAATTCTTTTCACACTTCTGCGTTCTATCAGCCCCATCATTAGGACAGCCCTGGCCTCTGGGAACACCGGGGCCATATTAATCTGCCGTATGCCCTGTCCCTGCGCCCCCACCACGACCTGCTCCAGGGGCAGGAGGGAAAGACAGATGGACGGACAATGGCCAGGGGAAGGAAAGGAAGAGGTGGAGGTGTCTTTGGGAAGGTGCAAAGCCCCGGAGGAGAAGGTGTGCTCTGCTATTTAAGAGTTTGGCCCATGTGTACATACCAGGCACACCCAAAGGTGAGATTCTCCAGGGGTGGGGCTATTGGTGGAGCTGTGGACACACGGATATACACTACTGTGTGATCTCGGGAAAATAACCTCTCTGGGACCCCACTTCTTCTGTCCAGTGGGAATAACTACGTACATTATACAGGGTGGCCAGGAGGATGAAATGTCAGGCCCAAAGTAGATGCTCAATAAACAGTCATTTCTCCTTCCTTCACTCACCTCACGTTTGTATTTATACCTCAAAGCCATGTGTATACACATATCAGTGGAGCTCACACAGAAATAAATCTCTGTGCGTGCACCTCTGTACACACACAGGTCAGCGTGAAGTGTGAACGTTAACCCACACACGGGTGGGTCTAGGTATGTATCACTGCTGGCTGTCTTAGACAAGCTTGTGGTTTGGCCAAGGAGAACTGGTTTGAAGTTAGGAGACCCAGACTCCCCCATGCACGTACTGTGTGACCATGGGGAAGTTCCTAGCCTCTCTGAGCCTTAGCGTTGTGTCTGTAACCTGAGGACAAACAATCTCTACCTTGGGTGGGGTTTCTGAGAATCACATGAAATGAGGAACATGCATTTCACTGAGTGCCTGGTTGGCTAAAACTCATGCACGGGACAGGGGGACAGGCAGTTTGGGACACTTGACTTTTGCCTGTGGATGGTGGGAGCCATCACAGGTGTATTCAGTGGCCCATGAACACGGGGCAGGTGTCACTGGGAACACAGTGCATCCCTCCGTGGTCCTGGGATGTCAAAGGGGAGGGAGATGCTATAATGGAAAAACTTTGAGAAGACTGAGTCTAATCCCTGAAACCCCATTTCACAGGTGGCAAAACTGAGGCTCAGACAAGCAGGGTGCCTTGCCCACTCTCGTGGTGCAAGAGGGGCAGGCATTCCGCAGGCCCTCCACCCCCAACCCTGGAGCCTCTGCCGGGGTGGGGGGTCTGGTGCTCAGAGTCCCTCTGGGTTGGGCTGCAGAGTGTGACTCAGGAGGGGCTCTGAGATACCCTAGAGGAGCTAGGGGAACAGGGGTGAAGCTACAGGGGAGTGGGAGGAGCGAAGAGAGGAAGGGTGAGGAGGGAGGGAGGGGAGGAGGAAATCGCTCCAGCCAGCTTCTAGGAGCAGAGAGGGAACAAACACTCCTTTCTTGCCTCCTGGGCCCTTTGCCTTTTGATCCCCCTCCCTTGCCACCCCCGTGCTGACTCTGGGGTTAATTTTATTTCCGAGTTGGGCAGGCGCCCCTGGAGTCAGGCACGGGGCTCTGGGTGTGACTAACGCCTGCCCCAGGCTCTCCACTCTTTATCAAGAGCATGTGTGTCCTGCTCTGCTCCCCAGGCACAGGGCTGGGGCAGGGGTCGCCCGTGGCTCCTCTAGAAACACGTCCACGCACATGTGTGCACCCTGCTCGCAAACACACATGCACACTCATCATATACCCACACGCACACTCACACAGACACAGTTACACACAGACAGCATCACGTGTACAAGCCTGGATGTATACAACCAGACCCAGGAGCACACAGCCACACCCATGCACACTCAAGCACACACGCACCCATATAACACACTGCACACTTCATCTACGTGTCCCACAAGTGCTCCCCAATACACACATACACATACACACAAGCATGTGTATACACACATGCATAGAGTCACACGTGCACACTCACACACATCTATGCACACATTTATCACACAGGTCCACATAATAACACACACACTCCATATGTGTCAAACACACTGGCACAAACACAGACACGGCCACATGCACACACCTGAATGCACATTTAAACATGTGTATGTTATAGCCACACATGATCACATGACCAAGTGTGTGCACATGTGTGTTCCCACAACACATATACATGCCATGTATGCACTGTGTGCTCATTTAAACTCACATAAGTGAATAGCCATGTGCACATACACCCGCATGTGCCACTCACATTCACACACACACATACATACTCGCCTGTGCACAAGGGCGTGTGTACTAACACCTGTACGCCGAAATACTCAAATACACACACAGACACACACACACAAACTGTAACACATCCAGAAGGTGTATTCACACTCAGGCAGACACAGGTGTGCACACATATCATATCCAAACACGCATGCACAGGAGGGGCCATTACCACAGCCGGGAGGTAGAGGCCGGGCAGCTGGCCCTCATTTACCATGGAGGCCAAGGCCATATGAGGAGGAGCGCGCTGGTGTGGGGAACAGGAAGCAGAGGTCAGTGAGGCCGGGCAGGGCTGTGGCGGGCGGGTGTTGAGGACATCCTTGGGCTGGGAGGCCTCACCCTTCTGATTAGTTTGACACCAGCAGGTGAGGCCTTTGCCGGGAGGTGGGCAGGAGGGGCAGCCTGTGCCCTCTTAGCCTGCCCTGCTGCTGCCCCGTCCGGCAGCTGGAGGCTGTGGCTGGGCTGCCTTTTGCTTTTGGTCTGAGGATCTGCGATCCCCGTCTCCAGGCAAAGTGCTGGGCATGTGAGACCAGCTCAGAGTTCGGGGAACCCACGGCTGAGGACGGGGGTGGAGGAGAGAGCCCGAAGCACAGCTGTGCCCATGGCCAGGGGGCAGAAAGGGCAGAAAGGGGCAGCACCTCCACCACCCACTGTCCCACCGGCAGCCACCAGCCACGTGTGACTACGGAGCACCTGAAATGTGGCGTGTGCGACGGAGGGACCACAGGTTACATTTTGACCTAATTTTACCTAATTTAAATCTACAAACGGAAATTCAAGTTAGTCTAGTAGTTGGGAAACTCTTCAGTAGATGGAAGAACGTGGGTGTATAAACCTATGACTTCTGTTGTAAATGTTACGAGATTCCAAGGCAGGTCCAGCATTTCCAACGAGCACGTCGTGTCTGAACGAAAACGGGCTGGGTTTATCCGAGGCGTAGTATGAAGAAAAGAACGGCCCTGGCCGGTTTGGCTCAGCGGTTAGAGCATCAGCCTGCGGTCCCGAGAGACCCGGGTTCGGTTCCTGCTAAGGGCATGTACCTTGGTTGCAGTTTGTCCCCGGCCCTGGTGGGTCGTGTGGGTGGCAGCCACTCGATGTGTCCCTTTCACGTCAATGTTTCTCTCTCTCTCTCTCTTCCTCTCTCTCCCTCCCACTCTACCTGAACAAAAAAAATGTCCTTGGGTGAGGATAAAAAAAAAAAAAAAGAGAGAGAGAGAAAAAAAATTTTTAAAAAATGTACATTTTGCCCTGGCTGGTTTGGCTCAGCGGTTGGAGCGTCGGCCTGCGGTCCAGAGAGACCTGGGTTCGGTTCCCGCTAAGGGCGCGTACCTCGGTTGCAGTTTGTCCCCGGCCCTGGTCGGTTGTGCGGGTGGCAGCCACTTGATGTGTCCCTTTCACATCGATGTTTCTCTCTCTCTCTCTGTTCCTCTCTCTCCCTCCCACTCTACCTGAACAAAAAATGGAAAAATGTCCTCGGGTGAGGATGAAAAAAAGAAAAGAAAAGAACGTAAAATAGCTCATTCATAACTTCATACGCATTTCAGGTCGAAATGATCATCTTCTGGAGAGAAGGGTTAAAAAATATGTCCGTGCAAATCAATGTGCTGTTACTGCTCACAGTTTACAACGTGGGTCCTCGGAAATCTTACACGACACCTGTGGCTCTTCGTGTACTATTCCTACGGGCAGCCTTTCTCCAAGGCAGCGGCAGTGTGGTTGCTGGGGCCCAGATCGGGGTCATCTTAGGACAGCTGCTCCTCCTTTCTGGACCTCAATTTCCTCATCTGTGAAATGGGCACCCCACCCCCACCTCACAGCTCTCTACAGATAAGCAGGGGGCGGGGTGGGGGGGTGCTGGGGCGCCGGGCACTCACTCTGGCCGTACTGGCCGTACTGGTAGCCAGCCACGGGGTCCACGCTGTAGCCAGTGGTGCTGTAGGTGGGCGGGCAGTAGGACTGGGAGGTGGGCAGGCTGTCCCCCGGCTTGATGGAGTCCGCCCGCTGGCTGCAGCTGGCCGAGATGGAGGGGGCCGAGTCCAGGCCGCCGTGCAGCGGGGAGATGGAGAAGTCGGCCTGCGGCTGTGGGGGCACCGCGCTGGGGTTGCTCAGAATGCTCATCACCTGTGGGGAGAGACCATCGCGTCAGCTCAGCGGCGGGGGGGGGCTTGCCGGACCGCGGGCACCGCGTGTGCGGGATGACGCCAGGCTGGCCCTTGAGGTCCCTGCAGCATCGAAACCGTCGGCTGACCTGTCTGCTTGCCCTGGTGGGTAAGATGGTTATGGTTTCTCCTGGGTAGGTCCTGGCCCATGGAGGCTTCCTCTGCTGGGAGCTCGAAGGGCGAGGTGGGGCCTGTTCACCTCTCTAGCCCCAGGCCTGACTGAATAAGTGAATGTATAAGTGAATGAATGAACGAACGAACGAACGAACGAACAAACTAGCTCATTATGTCTCTCCTATCAGACAGGGAGCTGTGCCTCCCCCAACAGACTGGGAGGCCCTGTCTTCCAACACAGAGGTTAGAGCCGGACTCAGGGTCTGTCCAGCTTCACTCCTCACCCTGTGCTAGGACTGCTACGCTCTTGGCCTTGGACAAGACCTGGTGACCGCCTGGTGATGTACAACACCAGTGTACATGGCCAGTGCTGCCCAGCAGCCTCCCTGGAACCTCTGGTCCTGGCTCCGGGATGTGTGTGATGTCACCGCCTTCCTCGAGTGGCCTGGCTCAGCAAAGAGACTCACCATCAGTGCGGAGAGAGTGGGGCTCGTCTCCAGAAACTCCGCTTCCAGAACCTGATGTTGGTTCTTTGGTGTGTTCACTTGTTCATTCAACAAACACGCACTGATGGTGACTGAGGCTGAGCCCGGGACTTCAGAGGAGGAAGAGCCATGGTCATGGCCCCCAACCGGGGCCTTTTGGGTCTGGGGGAGGGGCACCTAGCAATAGATTATCAGGATACGGGGTGATGAGGGTGGTTACAGAGGCAGCTCAGGGGCCGTGGAGCCCGGGGGAGGGCACCCAGCCAACCCAGTGCCTCTGGAGGAGGTGACACCTGCTGTCCAGGAGAGCGAGCGGGGACAGGTGGTGCGGGCAGCAGGACTGCCCGCAGCGTGACAGCACGGTGCCCAATCGGTCCAGGGCAGAGGGTGGAGAGGCTGGAGAGGCAGACCTTTGTGGATCTGACCCGCAGGGCCCAAGACCTGGCAGCCTCCTGGTACTGCCACCCCTCTGGGAGGGAGCCACAGTGCCCGGTGGAGTCAGGCTCGCTGACAGTGCACCCAACACCAAGCTAAGGAACCACACGCCGTCTGTGCTGGGCACATGCTGTGTCTCTCGTTCCTCCACCCTCCTGGGCGACGGTGGGCTGTGGGCAACCGAGAATGACCTGGTGGCTGCCGACACCTTCCGACCACGTCTGCCTTCTCACTTGGACCTGCGCCTGCCATAGATACGGGGCGTGCCAGGATGCACACCCTCAGCCGGGGACAGGCTCGGAGCTCCTCCGCTTCAAGCTGGGAAGCTCCGAGTGTCCCTCCCCTTCTGTGCCCACCCAGCCTCAGGAAAAGAGGTGAGACGGACCTAACCCGGACGTGGCTGGAGGACGCGATGAGCCCTGCCTGGGAAGGGCTCTGCACCCACCCGGGCACAGGGCACGTGCGCAGGAATAAGCGGCCCACTGTGCTAACCCTCTTCTTCCCCACCGCCCTCGCTGTCCCTCCCCTCAGCCAGACTCATGTGACTTTCCCGATCCACAGCCCTGCAGGGACACAAGGGGCAGAGCCATGACACCCATTTCTCAGATGGTGACACTGAGGCCCATGCAAGGCGGAGGCTTCCCTAGATCTCACCGCCGTCCAGCTGGCCGGACCCCGCGTGCTCGCCGGATAACGCCAACACCCATTCTCAAGGGTGTTTTAGGCAGGCGACCCTATTAGAGGGTCCTACTCCGGGGACTAGCCGCAGTTTGCTTCCTGGGCAACTACTGCCGAGTGGGGTCCCCCATCCCTGACTCTTCCCTCGATGCCCCCTCAGCCCTGGGGCACCCCTCATCTGTCCTTTACCTCCCCACCCCTTCCCAGAGCCAGAGTCAAGAGCATGTGCCTGCTGGGCTGGTCCCTGTCTCCGCCGCAGTGGGTGGCGTTGGGTGGGACTCACCGGCGTGGCGCCCAATGAAATGGCAGAGGCGCGGGCACGGGCTTGTGAGAAGGGATGTGTGGGCGGGAGGTGTCTGCGCAGCTCGGCACAGCAGCTCTGGTTTAGGGAGCCGAGGTCTCCCCAGTTCACAACGTGCTTCCAAGACCTTTGTCATGGTGGGTGGGGTCCACTCAGGGTGCTGGGTGGTGACGAGGGGGACTCCAGGAAAAGGGGTCCCCGTAGTGAGGTGGTGTGTGGGAATTCGACACCACTGGGCTGTGTTTGTTGCTTTCTGACTGTGGAGATGGGGTCTCCTGGGCCTGAGAAACTTGCTGTGTGTGTGTGCATGCATGTGTGTGTGTATGCGTGTGTGTGTGTATGTGTGTGCATGTGTGTATGCGTGTGCATGTGTGTGAGTGTAGGGGGATTCTCTGGGAAAACTCAGGAATCTAATGATGCCCTGACGGTGAGGAGACCCCATTCTCTTCCAAGTTCCTGCCTAGACCTCACTTTCCATCTAAATGAAGAAAATCCGCACCCATCCTGTTCCCCACCCTACGCAAACACTACCCCGCTGCTCCCAACGAGGCCTGGGCCCCAGGGACAGGCCCGCGCTCAGGAGAAGGGCACAGGCCCCCACCCTTCCTTCAGAAGGATGTGGTGGGCGGAGATGCTCGGGCGGGTTCCGCAGCGCAGGTGAGACTTCCTCCTGAATTCCGCTAAGATGCAGGGAAGAGACATGAGTGGGGAGGGAGAAATGGGGGGTAGAGAGCGGATGAGGGTGTTCTGGGGACAGGTTCGGAGCTGTGCATAGACCCAATACTCATCCTGCAAGAGAGAGACCTACAGGGAACCTCCACAAAACTGACCATACCACTCACGTCACTCAAGGATTATCGGTGGCTTCTCAGTACCTCCCAGGTAAACGGGCACAAAGGTTTCTTAGGATCTGACACTACCTGCCTGTCCCAACTCCTCCCACCACTTCCTACCTTGAGCTTTAAATTCCAGCTACACCAAACACTATGGTGTTTCCCAAAGACAAGCTCCCTTCACGCATGTATTCGTTCAACAAACATTTCACAGAGCGCTGCCGCACGCCAGGCTGGAGCCAAGGTTGGACGGGAGCTCTCTGAGGACAGGGTGGAGCTGTATTTCATCCCCTTTTACAAGCCCAGTGCCTACATTGTATTCTACATACCATGAGCTCAGAAAACCCCCGTTGAATCCATGCTTAGTCATTTCACACAAATTTATTGAGCACCTACTATGTGGCAGGCACTGAGATGCAGCAGTGAGCATTAGCAACTCCATGCTCTCCTGGAGCTGTCAGGCTGACAACAAACAAATAAGTAATATAATTTCCAATACTGATAAGTGCTATGGAGGAAAAGGAAGGGAAGGGGGGGATGTGGGGCAGTCAGGCAAGATCTCCCCCAAAAAGGTGGTGTCAAGACCAGAAAGAACCAGCCATGAGATGTAGCAGATGGTTTTCTAGGCAGAAGAATCAGCAAGTGCAAAGGCCCTGAGGTGGGCACATGCCCGGCAGGCTTGAAGAATAGCAAGAAAGTCAATGTTGGGAGTGAAAACCCTGAGCGCTGCAAGGCTTCCCAGAATCCTTTGTCAGAGGAACTTGTGTGGTGCCCAATGGCTCAGGAAGCCTCGGACCCTGGGCCATGAACAGATAGCTCCGAATCAGCTCAGGCCCAGGGAGCTCTTACTATAATGGGATTTGTTCAATGGGATTTGCCCTGGAACATCAAATCAAATTCACATCTGGGATAGGTGTGAATGGGGGAGGTGCGCATCTGTTTACTCCAGCGTCCCTGGAGCCCTGTGGATCAAAGGGCTTTCATTTCACCCAACCCCGTCTCTGGGCTTGGCAGCTTCCAAGCAAATGGGACAGGACCCAGCTGAAGAGAGGTGGGAGGTGGAGCAGGGGTCCTCAAGGAAACGGGCTATTATCCCCCATTCTGCTGCTGGGGAGTGAAAAGGTGACAAGTAACAGCCTGTAAGTGGCACAGCAGGATTTGAACCCGGGTCTCCCTGACCTGTAGCGTGTTCCTTTCCCACAACAGGCGGTGCTGGAGAGGAGAGAGAGGCCCTCGCCGCCCCTGGGCAGGGCCCTGCAGGCTCGGTGGCCCCTGGCCTCCGGCCGGCCCGTGGACTTCCCGGACTCCCTCTGTGCCCGCAGCAGAGCGCGCGTCTGCCCACTGTCAGGGGCCTAGCCGAGGTCTGGAGCCTGCAAACTTTTGAACTTGAGGAAGTCCCGGTCTGATGCGGTAATCCACCCCCCTCAAGAATGCTAAGGCCTCTCCCTGGTGGGTTTTACTTTTTTCCCGGTGACCTTGCTTTCACTAATGTATTACTTCTTGGTACGTTACCGTTACTAACTCAAAATCAATACCGACCTCCACATCTGTAAGGTTTTATCTGAAGGCAAATCTCCTGGCTGTCCGTCAGGCTGAGTGACAGCCGTCCCTTCCTCCCCCCCACCCGCCATGGCCCCCTGCCCACCCCAGCCTCTTCCTCTCCCTCTGCTCTAAATCAGTCCCAGCCTCCACCAGACTAAATCAATAAGGGGCCGGCCTCACCCCCCTTCCGCCGCTGGCTTGCAGGTTTTGGGGGGTGGGAGCTGAGGGAGCCCCGTGCCAGCCCCCCTTCCACATCCTCTGCTCACCGCCCCCTCCCCTGGGACTTGCCAGCACTACCCTACTTTAAAAGAAGGGGATGGGAAAAATGTAATTAATTCCCTCCGTTCCTGAGCTGGCCCGGAGGGCCTGGGACCGAGGAGGCTGAGCTGAGAGATCTGCACCCTCTGTGATAACCGAACATGGCTCTGGGAGCCAGGCTGCAATTAGAAGGGGTGATCGCCATCATCGGGGCTCCGTGGCAGGGTTGGGGTGGATGAGTGGGGGCCTCAGCAGGAGGCAAAGGGGAGAAGGAGGGGCAGGGGCCGAGACTGACAAGGTCAGGCTATTGGACCTG